CGGTCTTTACCTGTGGTTAGAGCAAGGTGACGGGTCTGGAGATACCTCACGGAGGGAGGAGAGATGCGTAGAACCTTTGTGAAGTCAAATAAGATCTGCATGAAATCCAGCAACAGGCTGCAAAGCTCAGTTGGTAGGGTACATAACCTCTGCTTTGGATGTGCTACCACAGGCAGTAAACACATTGTTGCTCAACAGTCATGTGAACCTTCATAGGAAAGAAAAGGAACTTGGTGGGTACAAAATGTGAATTAACCTAGTAGAACAGCATAGAAGTGTAGCTCTTAGAAAGGATAATCAGTCTATGTACAGACTTCGATGAGTGGTGATTCTTTTCTTGCGAACAGCAGTGGATAAAATCAGGTCTGTGGTATATGATTTTTTTAAAAGTCAGTACATGCATTTACATTTCTGAAGTGCTTGTTTGAGTGGCAGATTAACAGCTGTTTAAGTTTGTTTTGAGGTGGAGAGAGAATTCGAAGAGACATACTGCACAACTATGAAATTATAATACTCTCTAATCTTCCACCAGTTATTCTAGTAGAAGACAAAATGGATAACTATGTGCTGAAGAGGCATGAGAGAGATCAAATTGTGAGAAAGACGAGGGCTTCATTATCACCGAGACAAATTTGAATGCCATACAGAGTGTACAAGAGTCAAACAATTTCATCAAATTTGGAATGCAAGATATTTTTCAGTGTTGTTGTCTTTTGAGGTCCTTTGCGGTCTTGGGAAATGGTATGATAGGGCTCTGGAGGATGCAGTCCATGTGAGAGAGGTGAGATGACAGGTAGTACACAGACTGAATATAACGAGCAGAGATGCTAGACCCATTTAATATGGGGAAAAAAATGGTCTGCACAAAACCACAAGCACTGAGCTTCCTCCCTTAGTGTCCCACGATCACATCCATAGCTGACCTCAATTACCTTTGATCCTGAATGATTCCAGAGTCAAACAGCCAGCAAAGAATGGCAGATAATACCACTACTGAATTATACAGGCACAAGACTGTATTTGCAAATCAAAGTGACTGCTTTTCCAAAGCACCACTCAGCTTTGATATTTGTTGGCCAAAAATTGGTCCATAGCTGCATACTAGGTGTTTCAACAAATAGACTCTGCTTGGTAATTTGGACACTTATACAAGAGGTTTGCCATTGTAGCCATAGCTGGTACTGCAAGGGTAAACTTAAGCCAAGCCTGATATGAAGCTCCTTTACATGCAGCAGAGAAAACAGGTACCAGTGTGCCCCATTAGAATGGCTTTTTATAGAAAAGGAGTACTTGCAGCTGCTACTCTCCTCATTAAGGCCTCCGGTGTTTGGCTAGAAATATCACTTCAAGTCTCGGGGAGTTTGCACCTGTTCAAAGAAGAACAAAATGGGTTATAAAAGAGTCTTTTACGGTGAAACGGTGAAGGCAAATCTAAATGCTGGAGAGAGTGTCGGCTATATGCAGCATATAAGAAAAGCCTTTGGCTCAGTCTGACTGCCCCAGAACAAAGGAATACTGTATGTCAAAGAAGAGGATAAAGTGTGTTAAAGTCATGTTCTAGGGTATGCGGGGAGAAATGAGGTGGGAAAACATCAGCTTCTTCATTATCATTATGTGTTTTCCAACACCACCTAATCTGAGAACTTGGGTAGGAGAGAACTTTGCAGGCCAATGCACTGATAGACAACAGTACACCAATACCAGGAACACTGGTACAAAACAAACTAGAACAGTGCATTGTGGCACACTCTATGAATCATATTGTTGAAGAAGTTGGAGTCAAAACAGGAGTTAGATGACAGATAACATCTGTAGCACAAGAGAGAACCAGCAGTTGGTTATACTGTAGATGTGGCAGAAGGCACTGCAAAATGAGCAATAGAAAAGATGAGAAAGGTCAGTATAACTTAAGGGTCCACTTGAGTAGCCCCATGAATTGTTCTTCCATCTTCACTTCAATCACTTGCCATCAGGGAAGGTCATACCTTGGTCCAATCCACATTCATTGTGTGCTTATGTTAGGGGCACCACAAACAGGCTGATCCTTGGAGTCTGTATTACACACACATCAACTGTGGGCCAAAAGAAGCAGCTTGCAATCAGTGTGGAAATCATTATGATTTGCATCTATTTGTTGTAACTTATGTTAGTGAGGGCGTAAAGTATTATATACACTAAATGAATAGTTAAAACAACTGACCAAATTATACACACAGATGATCGGAACAGACATCCCCTTCATCTGTTACCTGTGAGCACAGATTCAATTATGAGCATAGACTAAAATTGGAATTCTGGCTTCACTGGAAAAACTAGTTTGCTCAACTTGATTGAACATTTTAAAGGGCTTTGAGATCCTCTATAGTAATACACAGGATCTGTGGAAGCACTAAGTACATTTATATTGCTTTGACTGTAGTTCTTAGCCTTTGTAGCAGATAATTTAATTTAGCAGAGACTATAACCAAACAGTTAAAACTAATAATTTAATGTTTAAAGGTAAACCGAATGTATATAAGGATGCATATCTAAGACCAGGGTGGTTTAAAATATGTTGTAATAATTAGCTACAGGTGTTCCTCATGATAGATTTTTTTTTCCAGGAAATGTTCTCAAAAGCCACAAGATGAGTTAATCAAGCTTGTCTGACACCAGCCCCTATTCAACCCTGCATTCTGTTCTGCTTTGCTGGCAAAATGGTTGGCAAAATTTTAACATGTGGAATGGTGTTATGTGACAAGTGAATTTCTTGAGTAATATACTCCTTAAATGGAGCTGCATTAGAGGAAACTGAATCTTGTGAGATGCTGTACTATAAAACTATTGCTTCAGTTCTAACAGACAAGGTATTATTCAAATTAGTAATTCAGCATACCCAGTGTCAAAGGAAAAGATTTAAGTTTTGTCTGTCGTGTCTGCTTTAAACATATTGCTAGCAACTCTTGGAGGAAACCCTCTTGTATTCATAGATGCCTATTTTTAATGTTATGCACAGTATGCGAGTTAGCAAGGTATTTGTCAGTAAAAACTCACCTGCACCAAGAGATTTTTTTGTTTTTTTCTGTTGGATCTTTTGTCTACATTTTCCTATTCAAATATTTCCAGACTGCAAGGTCTTATGAGGTCATCTTTTGATTTGAGTTAAAGCCAAATATACCAGAGGCTCTCATTTTTAAATATTTAATCTTTCCTGCAAAATGTTTAAATCTGTGGGTTGAGGTATTTTGTATACTGTACTGTATGTTCATGTACAAAATCTGCTTCAGTGGTATATAAATATATAGTGGTGGAATCCTAGAGTAAGCATTGCAGTAATACCAATCAAAGTGGAAACTGCCAAGTTAAACTGCATTGAGGCCACAGCAATGGATTACTTCTCCCAAAATATTTTATTTTAAAATGTGATATTGTAAATGAGATTTATAGTATTTTACAGTACCTTGACATGGAGTACTGTATAAAAATAAAACAATTGTAAGAGACTATGATATACATGTTAAAACCGTACATTAAGCTAAAGCTAGATTATAAAAGTATGTTTTCAGACAGAATTTAAATCTGCTCATTTAAGTGAATGAATTCATATGTGCTGAGAGATCATTTGCCAGTCTTGCAGCAACAGCACAGAGCACAGTCTGCAAATATCCAGAGCTTTGAAAAAAGGTCAGAGAGTACACATGAATTGTAAGTGTACTGGGGGGCTTAGCAGGTTACTGATGTGGTCAAGATTCAAACTGTTCAATCCTTAAAAGGTGAGCAGCAGTATTTTGACTTTTAGATTGAATACACAGGGGGCCAGCGCAAGGAAAGTGTAAAATGAGGTGAAATGAGTTTATGCATTTTAGTTTTCGCTAAACTCTGAGCAGCTGAGTTATTGAACCTGCTATAACTTAAGGACATATTTGGATGCACTCTCGAGCGCCCCATTACAATAATAAAGGGAAAGGCAAAAGCTGTATTAGGTTTTTTTGATCAGACTGGGAGAGATGTACAAATCCAGACAATGTTATGAATAAAGCTATGGGAGCCCTGGACATTCTGATATTTATTGCAAAAAAACTTGTGCTTGATTTCTGCTTTCTTTGATCCCGATAGTTTTTTTTTAAAGTCCCTTTTGGTTACTTTACTTCGCTATATTTCTCTTGTCATGGAATGTCTTTCTATTATAGGGCAGCTGACGAAATACTGAAAAAGTCCATCATACTTCCCCAACCATTGCTGGAGATATTTAGTCCAAATGCCTGTAATTTCTTTCAAAAGTTTCTGTAGGATCTTTGCATAGTAAGATTTCAAAATTCTATTTTGCTTAGTTTTTAAGATTTGTCTTAAGCTGTGTTTTTAGCAAACCCAAGTGTTACCTTTTAACTTCTTGTAGAATAATTATTTGCATTTAAAAAAATCATTAAGATCTGTGAACTATAAACACAATCGTTATGGGCAGCAATTACATGGTGAAAAGCTTAAGCATTTTAAATATTTTTATGTGTTTAGAACATTTTGTCCAAAATGGATCAAATGGCTCACTAGAGGGGTAAGCCATAAAGTATTTTCAAACCAAAAGGCACAGTTTAATAGAAGATGGAAAACAATTGAGGTCAACTCATTTTAACCTGAGTAGGTTATGCCAGCAGTGGTATAGTATTATCCTGTAGAGAACTATAACACTTTTTTTCCCTTAACCCAATATTTGCTTTTTAAGAAAGAAAATAATTGGTTTGCTCCCTAGTCCAATCCTTGGTTTTGCTGTTGTTAATCTGAAAAAGTTCCCTAACCAGTCAAGAGTGTTTTTTTTTAGTGTTTTTTTTTTTACTCCTAATTCAAGGTCATATATATGGGCCTAGTTATGGTTTAAAAGGACAGAACTGCACACTGCAGCACAGTTCCGAAACCACATATATAGCTATAAAACATTTTAGTCTTATTGATGTAACAAATTCCTCCGTCATCCAGAGATTTGTATTTCATCTTTCAACATTGCCTGTGGCTATCTCTGTTCACAGCTCTGAAGCCGAGAATGCGGGAGAGGAGAAGCAAAAGAGACCTGGGAAAACCAGTAATGATCAACCACAACCATCAGATAATGATACAGAGCCCCCTGAGAACAGAAAGAAACCATCGCTTGTAATGTGAGTAGCTATAAAGTTGTATTGAACCTCCACCAGCAAACAACCTTCTGTTGTATCATGATTGCAGTAGGTTAGTCAATTCTCAGTGATTTTGTAAGTAATTTACCATTTTTACCATGCTGAGGAATACTTCTGTTTTTATACACGCATTACTTTTAACTAAGTTATGAATTTTAGCATGCTACTGAAATTTATTTGTGGTAGAAAAATGGATCTTTGACCTGTTGTGTTTACCTTTTTATTAGGTGTACAGCTCTTTCTTACACTGAAATAAAAACCATGAGTTTCATGGTTTGAGAAACATTGATCAGAGCACTAATTAGCATTGCTATCTTACAGCACTTGGGCCCCAGGTTTAATTTCAGGGTTTCTATCTGCATGTTCACTTGGGTTCCTTCCAGGTGCTCCAGTTTCTTTCCAAAGTCTGAAGACGTACTGGTAGGTCAATTGGCTTCTGGGTAAAAATGGCCTTGGTGTCATTGGTCGTGTTCCAATATGCACACTTGAGGTCTTGTGCCCTTAAAATGTGCATTCCTGCTCAAGTCTGCAAGGGCTTAGATTATCCCATTTCTAAATTTGTGGGTCATAAGGGTGCCCCCAATGCGCCCTTCTCTGAAGTCTGCTTCGAAGAGAATTACTCCCAATTTTTTACGGAATGGTGACGTTTCATGTTTTAGCCCATAAAAGCAGATAGAATTTGCCATGGAGAATTAAATATCCATGTGTTAGTCAAATTGAACTTTTTTACAGTTTTAAAACTCATTTTATGTCAATTTTCATTAAGCTGTTTCAGATTCATACTGTTTGTATTTTAGTTATTAGGTTTTGACATAACTTTTATTTTGTCACCCCATTTCAACTGATGAATATTCATTTCCCTGCAGTGTATTTTGTACATGGAATATTCGATACTACATGTATTTAATAGTACAAAGCTTTAAGGTATTGCCAAGTTTGCTTGATTTAGTTTACTTTTAGTGAATGTGAATGAACTTATGTTTCTTGTAGTGTCAGACGATATAAAATGCATTTATTAGTAAAAAGCTTTGAATAAACGGCAGTATTGGCAAGTATTTCCTTGGTTTACTTCCCCTGTTTATAAGCAATGGAGTCTGCTCAACATGAATGAACACAATGTCACTACTGGTGTGCAGTGATAGAAATGACATTCAATTTATTCAAACTGTGAGTGGAGAGTGAAAAATTCTTTTTTTTTTTAATTACTGGCCCATATTCACTTAGCGCCTGGAAAAGAAGCATCAATAACAGGAAGCATTTTTGACCCCCAGCCGTGTTACCAGCGAGTGACGTCACACAAGGGTGTCCCAGTACCCTTTTTATAGCAGTGCACCCTCGAATACTCACATACTTCAAGTCCACACTAGAGCAAGACACATGGCGTGCGTGCGTGCCCAGTAACTGGCTGGCATCCCGTCCAGTTCTACCTCATCTTGCGCCTTTTGACTGCTGGGGTTGGGTACAGTGTCCCCAGAGACCCTGTAGGGGATAATGCAGTTGGATGGATGGATGATTACAGAAAGAGCTGCCACCCAGTAGCTTAAGTCTGTAGCAGTTAAGGCAGTAGTAATTTGCTTAATAAAAGTTCTGTTTTAGCAAGCAACTTGACTTACAGTATATTTAATGCAGAAACAATCAAGTTTTAATATATAATCTATTTTATAACCATAGATTTTCTCAGTTACTTTATCTTCTCTTAAGCTGTCAGCACTTTCCTTGTCTGTTTTAGGCATAGATGTAGGCTATATACAAAGAATCTTGCCTTTACCTGAAAATAAAACAATGTACTATAATTGCCAAGTTTATAGCCTGGAAGCTCTCTGTTGGCAGGGACTCTGCAAGGTCTGGTTTCCTCTTCCTTAAATATTTATATACTCTTTTTATTCAGTAACAGGATCTTTCAGTACTGCTACACAAAATTTTCATTAGCATTTTGATACTAGTATTGAAGGGAAAATGCTTATGTAGCTGGTTTGCAGCTTTAACAGGAAATGTGCATATAATTGGAACATGCATCTTCTTCTGTATAAGTCGCTCCAGAAAAAAACAGAATAACCTGTTATTTCTTAAATTGATACACTGTCAAACATTCTATAATAGAAAACTTGAACTTCTTAGAAAAACTACATTTTGTTTTTATTTTCAGTGACTCGTTTCATATAGAGCTGTGATGCAGTATTGGGATGTAAAAAAAGTCCAAATGCATTTCAAAACAGGATATAATTAGTACCTCCTGAAGATTTAAATTATAGCAGGGGCCTGACCTAATACTCCTATATATATGACGTAAATTTTAGTATGTACAGTTTAGCACCTCATAAATTTGAGGGGGTGTTGGACTGTTCTGTTCTTTCATACTAATGTGGTTATGACATTTTCTTATGGATGAGAGACATTTACAGCAAAGAGGCAATGGCGAAATGCATACTTGCGTTTGTACACTGAAGTAAATGGGGGTAGTTACTCCTGAGTTTTGTTTTTCAAATTCATTCTTTGAGAATCTAAAACACTTTTTGTTGTTCATGCATCTTTTATTAATCTTTTATCAAGATGTGGCCTCTTTTGGTTAAATTATGTATAAACAGATGTCTCTTGGAAGGTGGCTGTGGTATAAATATGAAATGCCCCAATGTATCATTTCTTAATTTATAATCCAGATTGTCTGATACCAGTATTACAGAAAAGGATGGAATGACAGAGATGTGATATAACCTTATATGTTTGATTTGTTAGCTTCCAATCAAAAGCAGTATTATTGCAGCAAACATCAGCTTGGCATAAATACTGGAAGAGATGTGTGAATTTTTCATGCACTAGTTGAACCAAGGCTTCACAAGACATTGTTTTATTTTGTATGGAAATATAGGCTGTGTTTTGCAAAACAGCCTATTTCTCCATCTGTGATTCTTTTTATAACTTATTTTTTAGTCTTCCTTTAACTGTTTAGAGCACATAAAGATCCTTTATTTAATGTTATAACGGACAAAGGCAACTAAAAGTCTGACTAAAAGTTATAACTAAAAGTCCCAGTTGTCACCACAATGGCAAGATACACCTTGTGTCATGTATGCTGTTTTTATTTTCAGGTCAAAAACATTTGATCTCCCTTCTCCGCAAATACCAAGTGACTTTGAAACAAAACTTGAAAGGAAGAAATCCCAAACCAGCCAGGTTAGAATTTGATCTTTTTGTGTTAAGGGGATGGGGGTTGTTATATTTATTCTGCCAATGAAAAGTAGACGTGAAAAGTTCTATAGTCCTATTGATGAAATGAAACATGATGCTGGTGTGTTCAATATGCTTGATATGTCATTGCACTTCAGTTATAAGGGATGTGTGCTACAGGTTTTTTAAAGTAGTAACAACGTTAGTTTTGTGGAATGCTGTAGTGCTTCTTAATTGCTATCCGTGTTAAAAGGCATTCTTTCATTTTCAGTTTTCCAAGACAAATGCGCAGTTTCATAAGATTTTCAAAGAAATATGTAAAGAGGAACAACTGAAACAAAGTAAGTAGTGTGCAAATGTAAGTAGGTGAAAACCTTTTTAGCAAGAGGCTTATTTGGTTATTGCAATTCAAGGTGTATTGGGTTCTCAATGTGAAGTGAAAGGTGTTTTGCTGGAGTCTTATTTATGCAGAGACTCGGTCCAGAAGGGCAGACACATAGCCAGGCTAGAAGAAAGGAGTAATGCAGTGGCCATGTGGATCCTGGATGGGAAGCTTATTCTTCCCCTCCCGCCCGGTCATGGCAAAGGGAGATAGGGGCAGTCGGAGCCTGCCTGCCAACTCCCTGAGCATTAGGGTGAGAGGGAAGGGCAAGTAGAAAGCCCGTTGTGGAAACTAGGAAGGTAATCTTGCAAGAGTCTTAAACCCTTTGAGCTGCTGGATCAAGACAAATTCTAAAGGTCCCAGGTCAAGACTGCCAGGGTGCTCAGTCTTCTCCATTTACAAGCTCTCCAGGATGATAGAGGATTGGTTTGATTGAGGATCAGAGGAATCAGGTCACAATCCTGTCAAGACCTTGGAAACCAAGGATTTGCTACAAGGCTCAAGGCTTCACTGAAACCTTGAGAAGTAAGAATTCATTATGTCTGGAACCTTTCCAAAACCTCTAGGATGCTATTTCAAATCAAGGTCTGAGACCCTATCTGGGTTATAAGGTCACCCTGTCCTGCTTCAAGGCCTTGAGGGCATGAAAAAATAAAATAAAATGGGCAGCAGGGAGGCAAACAATGGCTTTTAGCTGAGGTGTCAGTCATGCCTTACAGGAGAAGTTAGGGGCTGGATCCAGCTGCACAACTGTGATGTGAACTTGCTAGAGGGACAGTGACTCTCTTAAGAAGTAATGACTGTATAGTGCTTAAAGAAATATGTATTTCACAGCAGTTTTAATTTTTCTACTTCACATTAAGCATGAAAAAAATACATTTAGTAACTGTTAAACGAGAAATGATTACACCAGTACAATTTGGAATCGTGTCAAGAAGTTTAGCTCAACTCGCTTCCAAAGTTGCTTGAAGAAGTCAAAGTATGCATTTCACTCCTAGAAATGCATAGTTATTATTCTTAAATTAATTTCTGAAAAATATTTTACTAGTTGTATTAAAAGCAGCTTAAAAGCAGTCCTTCATAGCTGGGAAATGACTGACCTGACCCTAGTGCAGTTCTTTTTTCATTTTTTGTGGGCATTATATCCATAGAGAGAAACACTGACCCCTTTCGTATGTACAGCACAATAGCTTCTGTGGTACTCAATTTGTTGTGACTCTTATTAATTTTACTATTTTGTTTTATGTGAATTGTAAGCCCAACCACCCCCACCCCCTCATAAAAAGAGGAAGCATTTTTGCAAAGTTGAATAGGAATTGATTAAAAATATTGAACATCTACTTACTTTCCTCTGGTTTTTCTTTGTGAAAGTGCTTCCCTGTGCAGTACGTACACTTGGATTTAAAATCTTCAGGTATGATATAGTTTAATATTATCACAAAGAAATCTTTCATGACCGATTCCCAGTAGATTGCTCTAACCTTAGAATCTGTATGCTTTGCTGTAGCTACAGTGGTACTGGATACAAATTTAGGTTTAACTGCTTTTTTTTATAAAATACAAAATGTTGGACTTTACATCAACAAAAAAAACTCTTAAAATCAATATATTCCTGCAAATTTGTTTTGTTTAGTACATTTTATGATTTACTGTGTTTAATATTAATGAAAATTGTTCAAGGGTTACATTTTCATATACAGGTGCATTTCAGGGTGCAGCATATTGTTTAAAGTAATGTTTTTTTATTTTTGTTTCCTTTTTTAGGTTATACATGTGCCTTACAAAAAGACATCCTCTATCAGGGAAGACTGTTTGTGTCTGAAAACTGGATCTGTTTCCATTCCAAAGTCTTTGGTAAAGATACTAAGGTATGGCTATGAACAGGACTTTCCTAATTGGAACAGTTTAAGTAATTTGTAATGTTAGCCAGATGAACAATGTACATGGAATTTGATAAATGTGCCTTTAACTGCACTTCTGTAAAGGTAACTTTTATGTCATGCTTTCAGATTGTGAGATGTGTGCCTCATGGTAAAGTTTCTTTATGAAAACCTAGTTTTTCTTCTCTCACTAGATTGCTATTCCTGTAACTTCTGTGACCCTTATTAAGAAAACAAAAACTGCCATTCTAGTGCCAAATGCACTTGTTATTGCAACCGCAATTGACCGAGTAAGTAGAAAATTCAATGACTCAGTGTTTTATTAATTTTTAAGTACCTTTCTCTGGAAAATATTAATGCTATAAAATGTATATTTTTATTTTACAGCATGTGTTTGTGTCATTCCTTTCAAGAGAAACCACATACAAATTTTTAAAATCCACCTGTTTTCATCTTGATGTGAGTAATCTCTTTGGTGCTTCACTGTTATCTTTTCATGTAACTTTGCTTGCTTTGAGTGTGCTGTTTCACCCAAGGATAGTACAGCTTAAAACAAATACATCAGTAGGTATGTAACAAGCTTCCCAGGAATTGAGATCCTGGTGCAAAAGTGTCAGTGAACAGGATTCTGATAGCATTGAATTGGGAATAAGGATCTATTCCATTTCCCTTTTTTTCCCTAATTTATGGGAAGGCCTATAATTGGAAGATATGCCATGGAATGCTGTTAATTTTTATTGCATTAAATTTCAGTTATACATTTTGCTTTAAAGTGCAGAGCGATCTCTAATAAAGTAGCTTCATTGTTAAAATAGTTCTTAAATCAATATCTAAAAAATATTTTAGGGAAAAAGCCCTGGAAGCAGTCCGATACCTTCTTCTACAGAAAACAGTTTCAGAGTGGAACGTCCCGCATCATTGCCCCTGGTTAGTATCGTTTCTTTGCTCTTAGCTAGTTAGACAGACTTATGAAAAGTCATGCAAGTACAAACCATTCTGTTAGCTGGAAATGTAACTCTTGCTTCAGTCCCTGGTTGAATGCAAGTAGCATTGTCATGTATATTGCATTTAACTGTAAAGGATTATGGGTGCCTCATAATTCCCATCATTCTGAACAATAGATGTGCAAGCCAGGTACTACGAGTATGAAGTTCTTAATGCATAGTTTGGTACAGCCTTCAAGTTTTTGTATTTCTCAGTGTTATAAGAACTTTTTGTAGGTTTTACAAAATTGTGTGTGTGCACTTCTCTCCACACATCTTGTCAAACATTTGGATGAAATATCATATTCATTTTAAATGGAAGTATTGAAGTTTTGTAAGAAATGAAAGCCTATTTTTTTCCCCAACAGTGGAAGGTTCACAATCAAATGGCAGCTACTATATGACTTCAGTGTGTCAAATCAATTTGAGCTGGCAGATACAGTATGCAGGTAAAGATTGTTTCATGTACTACAGCTTTAGTTATCTCCTTCCATTTTGAACCACTGTTGTAGGATTTCCCAGGAGACTTTTCAGATTTAGATGGGACAGTAAGGCAGAGGAGGCAGGAGATGGAGGAAAGCACAAGCTCAGGCTCCCAAACTCCAGAGTTTGAAACCATTTCAGGTGGGTGTTTCCCCAGATTCTTATTTATTATACATCCACTCTAACTGTTATAACTGGACACAATTAAAAATTTGATTTTTGAGAGTAACTAAAAAAAGTTCTAAAAAGCTAGAAGAACAGATGCATAAACCTTTAACATTGTTCTTATCAATACAAAGCACTATAATAGTCTTAAGTGAAATTTAGAAGTACATCTTGAATATGTTCAGGATTATTTTTAGCTGCAGTATGGTAATTTTGTAATACTGTTCACTTTCTAGTAGTCATTACACTAAGAGAGTACCTCTCCCGAATATTATTTTACATATGTGAATTAACGTTTTCTTTATTTGACTTTTTCATTGAAGAATTCCCAAACATTTCTCAGAACTTCCTAAATGTGGTAAGGAATGGAGAAATACCAGTCCATGCGGATATTCACGTTAACCAGAACCCAGATGTAAAGTTTAACCCACACCGAAATGGTAATTATTTGTACATAACCCTCTTCAATTTTTGTTGTTAAAGTGCTACTGTTCTTATGCAGGCTTTATCTCTTCCTGTTTGCTGCAGGTGCTTCAGGATTGGTTCGTGTTGTGCACACGGTGAAATCATTGTGGCCAATGTCTTTAAATACCCTGCTCCTAGTCTACCTGTTTTTGTAAGTTACAATCATTTAAGTAAATTATGTTGGTTGAATGTTCATTAAGATTAATAGAATACTGAATTTTAACTTTGCTTCAAACTGTCCATACCAAGTAACCCTGGCAGCCTCTTTGGAAAACCCAAGTCACAGTATGTTTTTTTCAAAACGTTGCCAAATGTTTTTACGTAACTTGATCTCCTTATTTGTGTCCTTTTTTTCCCTTCTCTAGTGTCTGCATCCTTGTTATTTCATCATGCTATATGGCTTATAAAATAATGACTTTGGAACAGCGGTTAACCTCACTGGGTTCCATGGCAGAATACCGGCAAAATGAGTGAGTTGTTTTTTATTCTATTTTTACTCCTGATTTCAATAACATCCTTTTTTGCATTAATGTTTGACAGTCTTAAGCGGGAAGCGTAGTGCTAGGCAGGTGTTCAAGTTGAGAGTTTACATCTCATCCGAAGGACAGCACTATACTGGGGCATTATGACCCACATAGACCGCAAGTTGAGCACCCCCTGCTGGCCCCACTAACACCTCTTCCAGCAGCAACCTAATTTTTCCCAGGAAATCTCCCATCCAGGTACTGACCACGCTCACACCTGGTGAGCTTCAGTGGGTTGCCAGTTTTGAGTTGCAGAGTGATATGGCTGCTGGCTATGAAATGAAAGCAGTTTTGTGTATTGTTTGCTGTGACCCTTAACACAAACAAATTCATCAATCATGATAATGAATGAATACATCATTAACCTAGTCTTGTCCGGAAGTATATAACCATGATGAGTACTGTACAAATACAAGATTTAGTTTAAATCAACTTACAGTGGATGTATTTTTCATGTTCTATATGTAATTGAAAGAAGCTTGTAACTGGCTATTTTCTATTGAAGATAGAAATACCAAGGCTAATTATTATTGCAAAAGAGGTAGTTTCTGTGTACTGTTCCAGATAACTTTTTCTAAGGAAATAAGGAAATTATTTTGAATAATGTGCTAATCTTCAGATCTTTTTTCATGTGTCTGTTTTAGAAATTTGGTGCAGCACAGTGCAAGAGTGCAGGCTGAAGTTAATGCTGAAATGTATGGAGAGTTATCTTCAAATCTGTTAAAGCTAGAAAAGGTATGTTTGCCTAAAGTGTCTTGTAGATCTCTTTTGTGTTAAGTAATGGAAAATATTTCTTATCATTCCATCAAAGGAGGATGTACATTTGGCTGTTTGCAGCTCAACATTAATGTGAGACGGCAAACCGTGACAGTGCTGAAACAAGATTACCGGATTGTTTTCTTGATCAAACATTTATAGTTATTCTACAACAGCCGTAAGACAATATGCCTGGGAGTGAGCTGTGCGACCTGTTAACACTTCAGAAACCCAGGGTTTTGTACTTGCTTAAAAACTCAGTCAAATCCAGCTGGGTTTTTTTTTTGCGAGATAATTACTTGAATGCTCATCTCTTTTTCCATTCTAAATGTGAAATTCCTTAACTTCTGACCTGGGTAACCTACATCCAAAAGTCCAAAAGCAAGGGTTTCGTAAAGAAATGACCAAAAAAGATTAAATCAATAAACCAATGTAGTTGCTTGTTATGTTTTTTAAACAAGAGACCTTTCATATTGCATAATCTGAGTTTGTCCTTTAGAGTACATTCCAGTAAGGCAAATCTGAAGCTAACACTGCACATAAAATATAAACGAATAATATAAGGATAATCCAAGTCAAGTGTCTGAGTAGTTAAGGTCCTACTGTTTTTCTTGCAAAAACAATTAAATATCCCATTAACAAAATGAGAACTTGTTAAAAATCTTTATTTCATTGACTGTTAATTCATATTATTTGCAACAACAATAGAATAACATCATAAATAAAAAGCATGATTTCAGCAGCATGCATAGTCAGCAGGTTGTTTTCTTTATATGTGCTATGTGCTTCATAACGAAAGTTGTTTTCGGATTTATGTGAATGCTGTTCCTTTTGTTCATACTTAACTACTTACGTTTCTGAACACTTGGAAAGGCCAGTTCTTTATTAATGTGGAAATCCCCAAACTGCTTCCTACTTCATACTACTTCATAAACGATTAGATTCTGTTCTTGACTGTCACATGTTTGATTCACCCCCACCCCCCACCCCACCACTGCTGAGATTGAACTTACTGGTTATCTGGTGAGCTCATATGGCCAGTCAATTTGCAATACATTCAAGCTCTGGAGGGTTGCATCACTGTAACAGACTTGTACTAAATGAGCCCTGGAACAGCTACACTTGGAACAGTTTATGTAGTCATCATTATTGATATTGTTATAGGTTTTGGATCAAACCTTATTTGTGTGTTGTTTCGTGAACTTTATGTAGTACTTGGCATCAGGCACGAAGATGGTGAAAAATCTACATTGAATGCTATTAAAAAATATGCATTTTCTTCTTTGGATTTTGTTTTTGAGAGGATTAACATAACATAAATTATATCTGTTATATAGTTTTTAAAACTAAGTTGGTGATAGATAAAGAAAACTTCAGAATTATTGCTGTTGATTTCATTTTGACCTACAAAACATCAGATATTCAGTGTATAATTTATAAAATGCCATAACAGTCCCTCAATCAAAATTTTACAGCAATATAATGGCAAATTGTCTGACAAGGTTTTGTAAGGTTGTTTGGATTAAATATTGTGAATTTGAGTGGCTTAGTCAATACATATAGGTTGAAGGTGAAGTTCCCAATATGATATCTCAGATTGCGCTTCTACCAAAAGAGTGCACAGAGACAGAAGAAGAATTTAGCAGACAAATGCAATATTTTATGATAAGTTTGAGAGCTGCTATAATTTTGGATAATTTTTGCCCATAATTTTTACGTGCTAAAGCTGGAGTCCTGCATTTAGAACATTTTTTGTTCCGTTTTTCATAAGAAATTTTTCCCCTTTTCCTTTCAGATTCAGAAGAATTTACAAAGACTATTAGAGGAGACGGAGTGAAAGATATGATTTGTTCTTCCTGATGTTGGTATCTTGCTGCTTGCTTGCCTCTGGGTCCACAATGTGTACATGCACTCTCTGCTGGACAGAACCTATGAACTGAAAGCACCAGGTGGCCTTAATTCTGTGGAATGTAAAATTGTGCAATAAGATTGTTTTGAAACTTACCTTTCAAGACTAAAATACACTGCATTTCAATTAGTTTGTTCAAACTGTGGATCATGAATGGTCCTTTTTGTCCAAATACTCTTAATGTTTGTAGTGCTGACAAAAGTAAAACTGTGTAACACTCCAAATACAGTGAATCAGTATCAACTTTTGCCTTAAGAATGCATGTGCTGGTTTCATGCCCTTGGGGTTCCCTTTTCGTAAAGTACAGATACAATCCTTGCTTTGTCAAATAAGAAGAAAAAAATTCTAGCTTTGCAAATCAGTATAAAGATATTTATTTGGTTACAAGTGCATTAAAGGTTATGCTTTGTGACCTTAAGGCCTTTTGTTTTTTAACCAAATTTCATTTCAGCTAAACTAAAAGAGACATCAAAAACAATTGTAAAGCAAATAGACATATTATATTTATATAAACTGTAATAATGGAAATCTTCACCATTTCTGTGAAATGTTTGAAATTTGGAAATAAAAAGCATTATTGCCTGGGTTTCCGTGTTTAATACGTATGTAAATTGAAAATGTTTCAATGTAATGACAAAGGTGCAGTCGGGGACAACGTAAGCATTAATATTCCAGTTTACCCTGCAGCAGACAGATTTATGGTTTGTATTGGATAAAGAGGTTAAAAAATAGATGGATGGAAAATATGAAAGGGGCAATTATGCTTGCCACACACATTTAGTACATTCTGAAAATAGCAGTAGTATAAGTTTCGAGTACGTCTGTAATGAGCTACAATTATTTGACTTGTTCTGGTCTCCTAAGAAATCGAAATTACGAATCTTGTGAGATCCGTGATCGTACAAGTGGTATACAGTGCCATTTAATTTGTGCTTAATTGCTTTAGACGGGTGCCGAGGATCAGTTTGACAATTACGTATTAGCCTGAGCAAACATCTTCAATGGAAAGAGAGAATGAAAATGCCAACAATGACTTCCCATGGCACAGCTACAGTATGAGAAAATAATGTTAATGTTATTGAGGGGAATTGAGTGCGGATCCCAGATTCCATAATATTTTAAATTCTTAGCATGTAAATCGCTATGAAGGCGTTTTTTCCTGAAGTTTCGTTTATAGTTGTTTGTACATTAGCTCTTACAAAATTTAGTGTTATGGCCTATTCAGTAATTGCTCAGCATGTTTGAATGGATTCTGAACTTTGTCCTTCTTCCTTCAATTATATATATATAAAGTGTGCTGCAACAAAGATCGGATTCCCTGTTCCCTGTGGGACCACACCTTCATTTGTCATGTAAATAACATAATTATGTAAGTAGCACATCTTTGTAATAGATATATAACAAATAACAGTGTTCATTTTTCTATAATGATATTGTTTCTAATTGTGGTAGTTCGGAGGCTATTTCCAACAGAATACAATCAGTGCAAATAAGCAGTATGCCTTTGAAAGTAATTGATTCACGGTCTGATAAATTATTGATTAGTGTAACAAAGTACTCCATGAAATAAAGATGTTTCTCCTGTACACTTGTTATTGTGATTAGATATGAGGGCAGTCATAGTTATGAGCGTTCATCGGAGCCTTCCCAGAGATGTACAGCATCATAGAACAATTCGTATTAAACTCTCAAATGGCTTATTTATTTTAATGCCCGGCACCTTTCATAAACAGCTGGGTTGTCCCTGAGGTGACCCAGCTGCCTGGGAAATGAGGTAATGGTGTGGAAATAAAATCCCACATTGACTACAATAATGAAGGATTCCAGTGCATTTTTTCATTTGTTTCAAATATTAAATTAAGGAACGAGAAATTTAAATTGATTGTAAAAGTGAATGGCCCATTTCACAAATGTGTAACTCAAGAGTAGTGAAATAAAAGCTCCATTTATTTAAATGATTCTATTAGAAATAAAGCTTATCTGTACAGGAGTAAACCTTGACCATGAGATTAACAATAGTGGAAAGATGTACAGTATTACTATGTATTAACCCTGAAGATATGAAAACATTTTGGGTTATGAAGCACATTTTTCCTTATCACAACAACAGTAATCATGACCCTATACACATACTGTATGGTACACTGTTAGTGCGCATCATCTTACCATTCGGTTCTTGCAGGAGCTTGGGTTCTCAACTATCAGGCCCATAATTATCTCTTCTTTTTAAACAACACTTCTTGTAGCTTTAGAAGGCTTTATTTAGCCATCATCTTTGCAGAATGAATAAATTTCAAATGCTACATGTTGAGGCCTTCATTAACTTTGAACTGTACCTTTTCTGTGCTTTGCTGTAGCCTGGGGATTTATGATCAACATTACCTCAGTCCACCAGTGTAACAGCCTAATTGTGCTGCCAGATCACAGAAGCTAGTGTTTCTGCAGATAGCACTGCACATCCAGGACCTTGTGAATTCTGTCTCTTCTAATGATGGCACATTAAGTTAAATGTTATAAACACATTTTTTCAAAATTAAGATTTTCATCAAAATATGAATCTTCATACTGGACACATTTATGGCTAAAAGAAGATAACACCAAAACTGCAAAAAAAAAACTGTTTCCACAAGTATGCAGCCTTGCTGTGGCAAACCTTAATTAATTCAAGAGCACACGATTATGTAAGTCAATTACAATGAATGTCCACTGTGTGTAATAATAGTGGTTTGGAAAGGAACATGTAATAGGTTTATTCCATGCTGAAAAGAGAAAGAAAAACATTTTGGCTGTGATGCCTTCTTCGGGTGTAATAAGATTCCCTAGCTTTCTTACACCTGAAGAATGCTCCATAGCCAAAACATTGTGTTTTCTTCTCTTTTCAGCATGGAATAAACCTATTACTAGTTCCTTTGCCGCCAACGTGTGCTGACGTAGCTACTCACCTGAACTATAATAGTAGTTTGTATGATTTCTCCTGTACCACCGTATAGGGTCTATAGGGTCTGAGTGGCATAAGTCTCCTAAAGTAAAGCAGCACAAATGCTAGTTGTAGCAGTGGGGTTGGACTGGGAGACAACTTAGCGGGGACAGAGAAAGAAACCACAAGAACAATGCAAAAAACGGGACTAATAATTAGACAGCAGAATGTTTAATAAACTAATGTTAAGATAATTAACCATCACAAAACAATACTTTATCAAGTAAACAGTAATCAAAACTAACATTTCATGTAGTAATACCACAAGTAGGAACTGACGTCTTAAGCCAAAGCTTGCTGTCCTCAAATCACTCAGTCCAGTTTCACTTTCTGTCAAATTGCAATATCAATAACTAAAACATAAACTAATTTATATCCAACAGGTGACTTAGAAACACACTATATATCATAAGTGACAGTACAAGCTATTTATACTGTATATCACGTGGATTTTGCACATATAGGAGGTAAGTAGGTCCTAGATAAGGAACTGTTATGAAAATGACAAAAGAGGTAGGATATTGTTTGTTCTCATCTTATTTGAGCTAGTAATATATTAGGACTTTCTCTTTTATATTGAATCATTTAGCTGTATTTAAAAATAAAAATACAATTGATTAGTTACAGTATATAGCACTAAGGTTATTGCTTATTTTCATTTGTTCAATTACCTTAAAACATAATATATTTTCAATTTTTTAAGACCTGATAAAATACTTATAAACATTTGAAACTTTAACTATTCATTTGCCAAACGGAGTAATGGCAAAACATTTTGAATTTTTTTTAAATCTCAGAATGCTTTGAATCAGAGAATAGTGGTAAAGAATTTTCTCTCAGAGAAAATATTACATACATCTCCAAATGTTTGGAAATCCCCAATATAGGATTTAAACTGACCAATTCGCAGTCTTTGGCAAGGTTCAAATTGTTAACTCATCACTTCTAGTTAACTCCCAAAATATAACCTTATTTTCTCCCAGTGCAGTGATTAAGCCAAAAAAAAAAACTCTTAATGAATCTTAACAGTTTTGAAATATTTATTTATATCCTATTGTCATTAAAATAATAAGTGTAATAAGTAATCAGTATTGTAGATTCCCAAAATCCAGGTGGCCGATTTTTTTTTTTTTTTTGCTCTTTTGAAAGAATGTGATGGAGAAATTGAGACTTTAATCTACTATATTCTGCAGGCTAAACAGTATATTTGCATAATATTTTAAGAACTGTTGGAAACAGTTCATCTGCGTGACGTAAATGCTCTACTTATTTTGAACTTTATCTCTATATTAATGGGTAGATATTTCTATCCATTCTCAAAAAGAAATAGGATTCCTCAACCTTGCAGTGCTTTTCCTATGTGGAAAAGAGATATAATCTGCAGAAGACAGAAAGATACCTACACTGAAGTTTATCCACTATGCTTTGAAAATATGGAGACAGAAGATAAAATCAAATATGATTGCAATCTGTGGAAAAGGCTCAAGGTTACAAAAAGGCAGAATTCAGATACAATGTTTAAAAGTCTGGCATGACAACATCAAGAAAATAAAAGTTTTTCCAATTACAAATTAAACATTTTTTCTAATCAAACAGGACATGTATTCTCATTTGTGAAAATAGGGATTCAGTGATTAGATTTCTTTAACATTTTTGCTACTAATTTTGAGCAATTTAAATTCTCATTAATTTCAAGTAACACATATATTATCTGAAGCTACTCAGGATTACTAACTCACATTAAGTAACAATTTTGATATGCAATGATCCATTATATTAAGTCTCCTAAAATATTTAATGGTGTAAAAGCACAGAGCTAAATGAATAATCAGAGATTGGCTGTATCAATTCATTTGTGAAGTACCGTGTAAAATAGATGAGTACATCAAACCATTACATCTTGATTCTGCATTTTACCAGAGTGCACTTTTCATAAAATGGATCAACAGTGTCACCCTAAGGATAAGTTTAAAATAGACACTTCATTTAATTAAATTCTAATACAAGGTAACTTCTGAATTAAAAATATTTGAAATAAAGCCTGCGGTCACACAACAACATCTCCACAAGGGTAGGTAAATATTACTTGAATTCTTTTATATACACTGTTCTATGCTTTTTTATACTATATATATGTGGTTATGTTACAAGAAGATTGCATGATATTTCTTCCAAAGGTTATATGGTATTTTTATCTTTAAATTGATTCCTAGACTTGCCTTTTAATCCTCAAATGCATTTGAAACCTGTAGATTATGCCTTTGTTGTAAAAAAAAATTGACACATAGTGCACTCTGAACTACTTGGACAGTGAACTCTAAACAGTGCGTTTCCCTATGACTTCTATTCATTTCTCATGAAAAAATATTGCTGACAAGTACAATGGCTGGGTATTTCATTTTTATTAAAGTCAATTCAGTTCTGCCCTCTTGGGTCAAATAAACCTTTAGTTTCAAAACCCTATTTTGAAAGAGCAGATGTATCACGAGGTACAATATTTGTAGTTGGGTAATTAGGTTCTCATGAAAGAGCTGAGTACATCCTATCAACCCAACTTGCTAAGATTTCAGTGTTTGATATCTGTAGTTGAAAGTGAGAATGAAATTTTC